CAGTTGTAGTATACAACATAGAATTCGAGAAAGCTTTCAATAAGTACCATCATGGTGCAGCAACACACCATAGACTTGATATAGGAATAATGGGAAAAGTGGGTACATGGATTTTTAATTTTCTAACCAAACGAACACAAAGGAGCAAAAGTAAACAGAGAAAAGCCAGAGAAAATTACAGTTAAAATCTCTGTTCCACAAGGTACAGTACTCGCTACCATCCTCTTCCTCATCCTCATATCTGATATAGACAGAGGTGTAAACCATAGCATCGTGTCTTCCTTTGCTGACAATACTAGAATTTGTTTGACAGTGTAATATTGAGGACTGCAAATCTCCAAGCCTATGTAAACAAAGTCTTCAAATAAGCCACAGAAAACAGTATTAAGCTCAACGAGGACAAATTCCAATTAGTTCACTATGGAAAACGTGAGGAAATAAAAACTGTATATAAAGCAAATTCTAACCACACGATAGAGCTAAAAACTAATGTGAAGGACTAGGGAGTAATAATGTCAGAGAATCTCCTTTTCGAAGATCACAATGTCTCTATCACACCTAGGAAAATGATAGGATAGATAATGAGAACCTTCAAAACAAGGGATGCCAAACCCTAATGATTCACTTTAAATCACTTCTTCGTTCTATGCTGGAATACTGCTGTACACTAACGGCCCCTTTCAAGGCAGGCGGAATTGCAAATCTAGAGAATGTAGAGATAACTTTCACCGCATGTATAAACACAGTCAAGCACCTAAATTACTGGGAATGTTTGAAGTCCCTTAACCTTCACTCATTGGAATGCAGGAGAGAAAGATGCATAATTTATACCTGAAAAATCCTAGAGGGACTAGTTCCAAATCTATACACGGAAATAACTACCTACGAAAGGAAATAACTCGGCAGGCTGTGCAACATCCATCCAATGAAAAGCAGTGGTGACATGAGTACTTTAGGAGATAAAACAAGTGTCAGAGGCCCAAGACTGTTCAGCTGTCTCCCAGCATACATAAGGGGGCTTACCAATAGATCCTGGCTATTTTCAAGGAGCTGGACAGACACTTTAAGTCAGTGCTCGACCAGCCAGGCTGTGGTCAGTATGTTGAGTTTCGTGCGGGCTGCAGTAACAGCCTGGTTGATCAAGCCCTGATAAAGCGCGAGGCCTGGTCATAGACCGAGCCACGAGGGCGTTAACCCCCGGAGTACCCTCCAGGTAGACTCCAACTTCTTACAATGAGCTCTATAGACTTGAAAAAACTTAATGTCTAAGTTAAACGTCTCAGTAAATTTTTCCTTTCTTCCATAGAGCTTCATTATTATCTGTCCCTCTCAAGGGAGGTTTCTTGACAATGGTGAGGAGCTCTTGATCTAGGGAACTGGATCTATGCTCCACTTTCCTGAATTAAGCCTGAATACCTTCCATCCCCTCGCCCCCAAATGCGCTGTATAATTCTACGGGTTTAGCGCTCCCCATGATTATAATAATTATTATAATTAAATATGGTCATGTTAGGTTACCTTGCATTAGGTTAAGCCAGGAAAAGTTAGGTTACGTAAACCATTAAAAACGTATAAATTAATTAAAATAAACAGTAAGGACCCGTTTGGCAACGCAGTGGTTAAGCAGATCCCCGAAACTTTCAACTTTGCACGAGAAAATTTTGGGTTTTGAAGTGAGAAAGCCAGCCAAGGTCGTCTCAGTTGTGTTGACCTTGGTAAGCTATCCAAATGGTAGCTGTGATTAACATTTCATTTACCATACTCTAGCCAGCTGCCTAGTGGCTTACGCACTGGCCTGGAGTTTTACGACTTGCTCACCGTGGGTTCAAACCCCAACCGTACCGTGTGTACTTTTTAAATGCAAATTTAGATAATGTATACAACGAATCTGGAATTTTATAGATCAGTATTATAAGAAAGGTGAACAAACAAGTATTAATGCGAAGATTAAATCAATATTAAGAATGATATTATCTATGCATTCCATATTTCGCTTAAAGGAATACCTGAACTAATGACAGTATTCACTGTAAAAATATATAACTTTCACGTTATTTTTTTTACAGCATGCACTTCAGTTTCAAATAAAACTCACATTATAAATCATCAGAAGCCGGCAATTTTAATTTAAATGCAAATGTTGAGAGTTTCTCATCAAAAGAATTAAAGGGAATATTCTAGTAGGACCTTACTCTAAGTTTCATGACATACACGACTCTCGGTGACTTGTCCAGCACACCTGATGCCAGTTTTTGAGTTGGCAAATCACTTATAAGCGACTGCCTCTGCCGCTATGCTGATGTTCTTGATGTTCCTGTTACTGCTGCTGCTGTTGATGCTCTTACTCCTGTTACTGCTGCTGCTGTGATTACTGCTGCTATAGTTTCAGCTTCTGCTGCAGCTACCAATTCTGCATCTACTGCTGCTGTTCCGTCAACTACTCAGGCAGCTGCTCCTTCATCAACTGTGGATGCTGTTACTGCTGATCCTATCTGCAATTACGCTGACTAGTGCTGTCTTGACCACTGTGGCTTTGGCTGCTGTTGCTGCTGTGACCATTATTGTTAAACTTTATAGTAAAACCATCTGAACTTTTGTCTTATATTGAACTTTCCATATTTAATTGTAAAAAGTAAAATATTAGCATTAATAAAACTATTACACTCACTGCATAAATGAAAGTTGCACAAGTGCATGAGGCCTTTTTTTTGATATATTTAATTAAAATTTCTGTGTTAATACGCATATAAATAACAGAACTGAAATTATATCTTGAAAAAATATAAATTATCATTATTGAATAAAAAATTCTGTTCTTTGTTGGTGTAGCTGACTTAGCGACTGAAGCTGCTGCTTTGAATGTTGTTGATGTAGTTGCTGCTGTTGTGGCTGTTACTACTGCTGTAGCTGGTACTGTGTCTTGCTGCTGTAGCTGGTGCTGTGACTGTTACTGCTGTAGCTGGTACTGTGACTGTTGTAGCTGGTACTGTGACTGTTACTGCTGTAGCTGGTACTGTGACTGTTGCTGCTGTAGCTGGTACTGTGACTGTTGTTACTGTAGCTGCTGCTGTGAGCCTTGCTTGTTTATCTGCTTCTGTGACCGTTGCTGCTGCTGCCGCTCTGAGTATTGCTGTTGTTGTAGTTATTGTAGTTACTGCAGTTGCTGTTGCTTTTGCTGCGAATGTTGCTGCTCTAGTTCTAGGTGCTGCTGTGACTTGACGCTGCTATTGTGAATATTGCTGGAAGAGCTGCTGATGTGATTATTACTGCTGCTACTGTTGCTGTTGTTGCAGGCGCTGTTGTTGTGACTGTTGGTGTAGCTGGTACTGTGACTGTTGTTGCTGGTTCTATGAATTTTGTTGTTGTACAACACTTGGGTATCTTTACTGGAGAAACGTTTCACCACAGTGCCTTCATCAATCCATATAAAGAGGAATGGTGAAAAACAGGTGGCGTTTGAGGTAGTCAGTCCCTCAGCCTTGAGTCGCTCTAATCAGTCCATCAGTCTTGAAAAGAACACAGGATATGCGTGAAGAAGTGGCTTATATACTGTAAACAGGTGAGGTGAAGCAGTCCTAGGTGGAATGACGGTGGACAAATCCAAATGTGGAAGTAGGTCATGCCTAAAGCTTAGGCAAGTGAAGAATTCCCTGTACTAAGATTCCAAGGTGTTGCTGTGTCTGACAGGAATGTAGGTAAATGGTTCAGAGAACCGGCAAGTTGATAAGTTAAACACATGTGCAACACTTGGGTATCTTTGAGGAATAAATTTACCTTAAGTGTTGCACATGTGTCTATCAACTCGTCGGTTCTATGAACCATTTATCTAGATTTATTGTTGTAGTTCCTGCTGCTTTGATTATTGTTGTAGCTGCTACAGTGACTTGCTCATAGTGCTGTATGTGCTACAGTGACTTGCTCATGCTGCTGTACCTGCTACTGTGACTGTTGCTTCTACAGCTGTGAATGTTGCTACTATACTTGTTGCTGCTTTGCCTGTTGTAGCTTCTAGTATGACTGATGATGCTGTAGTTGCTGTTGTAGCTCTTATTGCTGCTGTGTCTGCTAAAGTAACTTGCTGTTATAGCTACTGCTGTGAAGTTTGCTGCTTTAATTGCTGGTGTGACTATTGGGGCTGCTGCTGTGAACTTTGCTGTTGTAGGTGCTGTTACTGTGACTGATGGTATAGCTGCTGCTGTGAATTACTCTGCTGTGAATATTGCTGCCGTAACTGCTTCTGTAAATCACTGTTTCTGCTGTGACTGTTGCTGTAGCTGCTGCTGTGACTATGGCTATAACCGCTGTTGTGACTGTTCTGTAGCTGTTGCTGTGACTGTTGCTGTTACCGCTGTTGTGACTGTTCTGTAGCTGCTGCTGTGGCTGTTGATGGTGCTGTAATTGCTACTGTGATTGTTGATGTTTTAGCAAAAGCAGTGATCTTTGCTGCTGCTCCTGCTGCTGCTGTAGCTACTACTGTGACTGCTTGCTGTAGCTGCTACTGTGACTGCTTGCTGTAGCTGCTACTGTGACTGCTTGCTGTAGCTGCTACTGTGATTGCTGCTGCTGTGAATACTTCTATTGTAGCTGCTTGTGTGACTGTTGCTTCTGCCACTGTGAATGTTGCTGCTGTAGTTGCTACTGCTGTGACTTTTGCTATAGCTGTTACTGTGACTGTTGATGCTGTAGCTGTTGCTGTTGTGTCTGTTGCGCTGCTGTAGCTGTTAATGCAACTGTTGCTGCAGTAGCTACTGTTGTGAATGTTGCTGTGTATCTAGTTCTGTGACTGATGCTGCTACTGTTATGAATATTGCCGTCGTAGTAGGAGCTGCCACAGTGATTGTTGTTACTACTGTGACTATTAATGTTGTAGCTATTGCTGAAATATTGCTGCTGTAAAGGCTATTGTGACTATCGCTGCTACGCTTGCTTTAAGTTTGATTAGGTTTGTGAATTGGTGACTACAGTAAAATACAATAACACAAGGTGTGGTCACGTTGCAGGAGGGGAGAGTGACTTCAGTGAGCCAGAAATCACCTGGGGTCAGCCTAACACACACACTGCTTACTTCGGTGACGTCTCTCCCAGCAACGTGACGGCTGTAGTGGGCCACAAAGCCACACTTCCCTGTCGCGTTCTTCACCTCGGCAACAAAGATGTGAGTAGATCCTTAATGTTGTTGCAGATCCAAGTTAAAATTCGTATAAATGTCTATTATCCATGGTACTTAAGGACGATCCGTCTTACCTATATTCATAACAAATTAAAATTAGAAATGTGCGAAGTAAATATTACCCTACATATTTTCTCAGATAGCCTTCATCTTTTTCATTTCTCGGATTACTTGCGACAGGTATCGTGGATCAGGCAGCGTGACCTGCATATCCTGACAGTCGGTATCTTCACCTACACCACCGACGATCGCTTCAAGGTATTCCTCGGTCTTTTAACCAAGCTTCCAAGTATACTGTACCTCAGTGTGTCATATTCACGCTTTGAGGAATGCTTCGAGGTACAACCCACTCCCTAAATCATTCTCTTTCTCATGCCTCAGGGTATACTTCTATGTTATGCTTTAAGGTACAGACCACAGTTTTATTTCAAGTATACCTTATTCTCAGAATCGAAGTTCAAGGTATATCTCACTCTTTAAGTTGCTGCAAGGAACTTACTTTTCTGTCAAAGACATCCTACATTAAAATTTCCCATGTCTACTTTTTTCACTACCTTGCAAAAGGGCATTGATCAGAGACATATATAACGTATGCAGTTCCCGCGAATGCAAATGAATGTATTCGTAATAATTTAATACGCAGTTATTGGTTGACTCAAGAAATCGTAATGACACGATTGCAAACAAACCGCAGGTTCAATCCCGGCCGGGGGTATGGTTTGTTTGCAATCGTGTCATTACGATTTCTTGAGTCATGTTGACGGCAGTGAAGGGACTTGAGTGTTCGTCACGGCCACGCTAGCTGGAGATTCGTCTGTAAAAACTTGCATTTGTGGTTACAGTGGTGCCTGTGCTAATCTTCCTATGGTGTAGAAATATACCTAGTTGGATGAATCTTATTGTGGTAGCTGGTCTAGTGGCTAACGCGACGGGCTGGAGTTTTGAGACTCTATGACCGCGGGTTCAATCCCGGCCGGGGGTATGGTTTGATCGCAGTTATTGGTCTCTGCTTACAAGTGTTCGCTGTGACTCACGCAACAGGTGTTCTTTGTGACACTTGTAGTAAGTGTTCCAATTACTGCGACACTCGCCGCAGGTGTTCATATGAATGGCCATCTCCTATCAAGTGACGGATGTAATTGCTATAGAAAAATCATTATTTTTCATTCATCATCATCCTTTTTCACCTCTCTTGCCTCCCTGTCCCATTCCTTCCACCTTATTCTACTTTCCATTGCAGTTCCATACTACTTTATCACTGTCTTACCACTCTAACATTATTCCCTCTCATCCCCCTCCTTTCCAATGAAACTTTTCATCTCCAGCATCTTACTCCTTTACCACACTCATCTTCCTTTCATTTCCCATGCTCCTCTTCTACACTGCCGCCGTTCTCATTTTCCGTCCGCAGTTCAGAATGGAGCCTCCAACATTTCTAAATAACCCACACTCCTAAATACAATATAAGCTGTATCTCGTGTTTCCTCCATCACCTTTGACTTACTCTCTCGCTGGAACGTAACTCCCTTTTCCCAAAACCTAGTTTTATCTCTTTCTTTCCCCACTAATTTATGCCTTCTCATCCACTCTTCTATCTTCATTCTTCCTCCTCTCACTGCTTTCATTTTTACCCCCAGGTGTACCACCCGCCGGACACGGAGCAGTGGGACCTAGAGATCATCCCCGTTACTTTCAGAGACGCTGGTGTGTACGAGTGTCAGGTCTCCACGAGCCCCAAAATCTCCTTGCCCATCCTGCTGGGTGTGGAAGGTAAGCACGGAGGGCCCCACCAAGTATTCTATATGAGGAAAATAAGTATGGAGGTCCCCATTTATCATGCCGAATGTGGATGTTAATCATGGTAGGTCTTATCCATTATGTTGTGTGTGGAAAATATGTAGTATGGTTCTTTATCCATCCTATTAACCATTAAAGGCACTTCTCATACTGCATACGGAAGGTACGTAGGGAGGCTTTCCAGTTATCCAAAATATACGATACGAAAAGTATGGAATAATGAACTTTACCCATCCTGTTCGATGAGGAAGAAAATTTGGGAGAATCCAACCAACGTTTTGGGATGTTGAAGGTAAATTCGAAAGTTTTTTCCCTTCTTGAGTACTCTGAGGTCAGTGGCCACGTGTGGTCATACCTGTCCTGAGCTGTCTGGGTATTAGAGTGGGCTGTTACCAAACACCATGGCTTGTTGTAGTGTTTTAGAATCTCAGGTTGAAGTGTTGAAGAAGGAGGTTCTACTTCTTCAGGAGGAAAATACGAGGCTGAAGCTTCGCCTAGATGTGTTTGAGAGTGAGTGTGAGATAGCTGGTGCTGGAAAGGAGGAAATGCTTACCACCAGTGAGAGTGGCAGCCGCTTTAATTAAGTGGCAAGTGGTTCACAGTTCAGGAAGAAGGAAGGAAGGTTAATAAAGAAGATGTGAAGGTAGGAAATCGATTCTCTGTTCTCCAAGACGAGTGTACTTCAGTGGTTAGTAAGGTTAAAGGTACCTCTGACTCCCCTGCTAATCAAGGTAAGAATATTCTGATTGTGGGAGACTCTCAGGTAAGATATATGGACCGTGCTTTTTGTAACAGAGATAGAAAAGTCAGACAGAGAGTGTTCCTCCCAGGAGCTGGTGTTGGTGACATAGTCAGCAGGTTGGATAATATTATGTCAAGTAATGAGAACAAGCCCATTATCTTAGTGCTGGTGGAAATGACAGGAGCTACTGGATAAGTACAGGTCAGCCACAGAAGTAGTCAGGTCTAAGGGAAGGATCCCTATCATATGTAGCATCTTGCCTAGAAGGGGAGTGGGCAATGAATGGATGTCTAGGGCAATTGGTATAAACTGCTGGCTAGACAGGTACTGCAAGGAACTTGCAATCCCATTCATTGATAACTGGGACAAATTCTATGGCAAACATGATAAGTATGCAAGGGAAGGGGTTCATCTCTCTGGGGGTAGGAGTGGTTGCATTAGCCAATTCGATTGAAGGGGTAATTGATGCCTTGCCTAGGATTTTAAACTGATAGATTATAGAGGCATGGGTGTTTGTGGGAAACAATCAGGCTGGAGTATTATTGTTGGAAACATCAGATATTACCAGGACACCTCAGGGATATGTTTAAAAGACAATATTCAAATTAAATTTCCTAATAAAGGCAAAGCAAATGATCAACAAAGAGAGATAGTAGAGGGCAACGAGTGACTAGCTCCCTTAAGGTTTACTATACAAATAGTAGGAGTCTAAGAAATAAGGCAGATGAGCTAAGATTACTCGCAAGTGCAGGTAATATAGATAGTATTGCTATAACTGAGACCTGGTTCAACTTGAAGGATAGAGAAATGCCTTCTGAATGCAGCATAAAGGGTTGTAAACTATTCTACGCTGATAGGGTCAACAGGAAGGGTGATGGAGTGGTGATGTATGTCAGAGATAATTTAAATTGTTGTGTTAGACATGATATATGAATTGAAACATCGGACACAGAATCTGTTTGGCTACAGTTTCTCGAGGGGTATGAAAAGTTAATTTTGGGTGTGATATATAGGCCCCCAGATCTGCTATGGGGCGAAATTCATAAGACGTCTATATATGAAAATGTTGTGTTATTGGGGGATTTTAACTTTAGACAAACTGATTGGAACAATTTTACAGGAAATTTTGAGTCATATGACTTTCTTGATACAGTTCAGGATTGCTTTTTAAAACAGTTTGTGCCATAACCAACTAGAGGAAACAATCTGTTTGACTTGGTTCTTGCCAACAAAGATTCACTAATTAATAATCTTGAGGTTAACAATGAACTTGGGGAAAGTGATCACAAATCACTTAGTTTCTATATATTATGGAATTACCCAGTAAACTGCAATCAAGTCTCTGTCCCAGACTTTCGATTGGCTGATTTCATGGGACTGAAAAATTACCTGGGTGGGCTTAATTGGGATGATCTGACTATAGGTCAGGTAGGTGGTGTTGGCTGCCAATATAACTTTTTCTGAGCATATTTCTACCTGCTCAATCAACTTTTGTTCCGAGTAGGGAAATTAGATCTAACAAAAACTATCCCAAATGGATGAACAATAGATTAAACTTCTCACTGGTCAAAAGAGAGGCATTTTTACGCTTATCAAAAGAGGGGATGGGCAGTTAAAAAATCAATATATTCAATTAAAGAGAGAAATAAAAAAAAATTAATAAAATAAAAAAAGGGATTATGAGGCTAAGGTAGCAAAGGATTCGAAGACTAACCCAAAAGTGTTCTTTCAGTTATACAGAAGTAAGACTAGAGACAAGATAGGCCCACTTAAGAGTAACTCAGGTCAGATCACTGACAGTGATAGGGATATGTGTGAAATTTTCAATTCTTACTTCCTTTCAGTTATTAGTCAGGAAGATAATAGCGAAATTCCAGAAATAAATTATGTAGAACAGGACGATAATAAACTATGCACGATTGCAGTAACTAGTGACATGGTCCTCAGACAAATAGATAAATTAAAACCTAACAAATCCCCAGGTCCTGATGAATTGTTTGCAAAGGTTTCAAAGGAATGTAAAGAGGAACTTTGCAAACCTTCGGTTTATCTTTTCAGCATATCACTACAAACTGGCTTAATGCCTGATAAGTGGAAAATGGCAAATGTAATACGTACTTATTTACAAGGCAAGTGACAGGTCCTTAGCTTCGAACTATAGACCAATAAGCCTTACCTCCATAGTGGGAAAATTTATGGAATCAATAATTGCCGAGGTAATTCGTAGCCATCTTGAAAGGCATAAATTGATAAATGAATCTCAACACGGTTTTACTAAGGGACTTTCCTGTCTTACGAATTTATCAACTTTTCTCGCTAAGGTGTTTGAGGAGGTAGATCATGGTAATGAATATGATATTGTGTATATGGACTTCAGTAAGGCTTTCGATAGAGTTCCACATCAGAGACTTTCGAGGAAACTTAAGGCACACGGAATAGGAGGAGAAATTTTGTCCTGGGTAGAGGCATGGTTGACACATAGGCAGCAAAGAGTTTGCATAAATGGGGAGAAATCAGAATGGGGGCACGTCACAAGCAGTGTTCCACAAGGGCCAGTGTTGGGCCCCTTGTTGTTCACAATTTACATAAACGATATAGATTAGGGAATAAATAGCGACATAAGCAAATTTGCTGATGACACCAAAACAGTGCATTAGTGCACTCCAGGATGGTTTGAATAGACTGATGCAGTGGTCGGAGAAGTGGCAGATGCAGTTTAATATAAACAAATGCGAAGTGCTAAATGTTGGACAGGACAATAACCATGCCACTTATAAACTGAATGGTGTAGATCTTAATACTACTGATTGCGAAAGGATTTAGGAGTTCTGGTTAGCAGTAATCTGAGACCAAGACAACAGAGCATAAGTGTTCGCAACAAAGCTAACAGAATCCTTGGCTTCATATCAAGAAGTATAAATAATAGAAGTCCTCAGGTTGTTCTTCAACTCTATATATCCTTGGTTAGGCCTCATTTAGATTATGCTGCACAGTTCTGGTCACCATATTACAGAATGGATATAAACGCACTGGAAAACGTACAGAGGAGGATGACAAAGTTGATCCCATGTATCAGAAATCTTCCTTATGAGGATAGACTGAGGGTCCTGAATCTGCACTCGCTAGAAAGGCGTAGAATTAGGGGAGATATGATTGAAGTGTATAAATGGAAAACAGCAATTAATAAAGGGGAAGTAAATAGCGTGTTGAAAATATCCAGCCAAGACAGGACTCGTAGCAATGGTTTGAAGTTGGAAAAATTCAGATTCGGGAAGGACTGGTTTGGTAATAGAGTTGTGGATGAGTGGAACAAACTCCCGAGTACCGTCATAGAAGCTAAGACCTCGTGTAGTTTTAAAAATAGGTTGGATAAATACATGCCTGCGGAATGTCACATTCAGGGTTTTAAATTGTTCAAAGTAGATAGAAGTATCGGGAAGGGGGGTGGGGTGGCATTGTATGTTCGAGATCACTTGAACTGTTGCATAAAAACGGGTATTAAGTCTGAAGTAACACATACAGAGTCTGTTTGGATAGAATTTTCAGAGGGGCATGAAAAACTGATTTTAGGAGTGATATACCGTCCCCCAAACTTAGATAGGGACCAAGGGAGACTACTATGGGAGGAAATTGTTAAGGCCACAAGGCACGATAATGTAGTAATTCAAGGAGACTTTAACTTTAGTCATATTGATTGGAATTTCTTGACTGGGAATTTAGAATCATATGACTTCTTAGAAGTAGTTCAGGATTGTTTTTGGAAGCAGTTTGTGACAGAACCTACAAGGGGAAATGATCTGCTTGACTTAGTTCTGGCAAACAATGAATCCCTTGTTAATAATTTAGAAATTTCAGAGGAACTGGGTGCTAGCGACCACAAATCAATTAATTTTAGCATTGAAAGGAAGTACGATAGTAGCGATAACTCAGTAAACAGTCCAGATTTTCGCCCTTTGCAGATTACGATGGGTTTAGAGAACACTTATCATCTGTTGATGGGGTAACGAAGAGAGCTATCAATATGACAGTTTTCTGAAAACTTTACATTTCTTGCTTTAAAGAGCGTTTATCCCCTATAAAGAAATTAGATCAAATAGAAATGACCCAAATGGATGAATAAAAGGCTCAAATATCTACTAGGGCATAAGAAGGAATTTATAGACGTATCAAAAGAGGTGAGGGTATCTTATGAATCGTATATTTATATTAAGAGGGGGCATTAAAAAGGGTA